GCAAAGCCACTTCCTTATGCTTCGCCCGAACAAGGTGGTTTATAATGTGTGAGCCAGAAGTATTTCCACGCGAGTTACAGAACCATTTGTTGCAGGTAACACATCTGGATACAGAATTCACAGCGTGAATTCCACAGTATCTAGAGGAAAAAACGATTTGAGATCGAACAGGTCTTTAAATAGTGGCACTATTGACAGGAAATCAGCGAATGGCTGATCTACCTACCTACAGGCGTGTCCAGGTAATTCCTTTTCAAGAATGGCCAGATCCCGGAATGAGTCCAGCTCGTCGATGCCGACGCCCGATAGATCAGGTTCTACGAACTGAGACTGTGAGCCATCGTGGTAGGTGTTTGTTTGTTGAGAGCTTAATGTCGAGTCTATGTCGTTGTAGTCATATTGTGAAGCCTGGGTATCACCGCCAGTATATTCAAGATAAGAAAAGTTTTCATCGTCTTGAGTATTTATGCTGCTGAATCGAGATGCCATAATACTCTATATTACGAATTATGAAAATTAGTGAGAATAAATCATTGTTTTCTTTTTTCGTGTATTATTTATGGCGCTATCTGAGATATCGAGATACAGACAATTAAAGGACATTTTGACGTCACAACGATAGGATACTGCTGCGCACTAAAGCATAACTTGATAAAGAAAATGAAAATCTTTCTTGTCAATCATTGGTGATATAACAAAAATCAAAATAGGGTTTACGGTAATGTTTGGCGTTTACTTTATTCACAATCAGAAAGCAAGAACAAGAATCAGTAGCAGATTCGCCCAAATACTACAACCCTATAATGATATTGGTTTGCTATTGAAAGACCTATGCTGCACAAAATATATGGATATAAAGCGAATATTTAATAACACGTATCGGATGCGTTTTTGCAATGCGAGTGAGGAAAGGTTTAGCTACGAATACATTCATATTAAAGTTGATGATTTTGTAAAACGGTTGGTATACAACACTGATGCGAGTGCTCGCAGTATGAAATAAGATTCTGGAAATCCAAACGTTTATTAAGCGCAATGATAAAAGCGTGTTAGGAATGAGAACTAACGTTTCTTTCTTGTGCATGTATTGTAAAACTTTTCCTGTGTAACACGTGATTAAGACGAGAATATCCTGCTATCTTGGACCTTAAGCAAACCTAAATCTCAACTTTCATACTAACAGCAGCACGTTCTTTGCTTAACTGTCCGTTGATTTACTTGGACACCAGAAGGACCACTTTTTCGTATTAAAGCTAGAATCTCTAAGCATTTATGCCTAGTTAGTACTAGTTTTGTGTTGTTTTAGATAGTACTCGCAATGTCATCTGGCCTTATTGTAACTTTCGAAGGTTTGCTTATGATAATGAGTATGTTTTCAACAGTATGTCTTAATATTAATATAATCACTACTTACGATCAGGTGCTTTAGTTTTCGTTGGGTTGAATGTGTCTCATCATATGTCTCATAGTAACTGTTAAAATTTGGTGCAGAGGGCAAGTTTTACTAAGAGACATGACTTGATGACTTGTCCGTGTGTATATTAATATATATATACATATTCCAGACGTGAAGCGTGTGTAACCGAACGTCAGGTTATATGAACGTTCGCTTTAAAAGCAACTGAAATTTTAGTTTAGTATCTAACGTCTCCAAAGTCACCGACCACCCTCTACATTTGAAATTAAATGAACATATTGGCATAACGAGCAATGCAGTTGGCGTAAGGTTAATATTGAATTTAGCGCACCTTATAGGTAATGTGTAGCCAAAATATTGCGATGTGTTAGATAGTATAATTGCGGATTTACCTAGAACCTGACTTTTATCCTACGAAAAACGTTATAATTGGGCTATGCGGCTCGAATATTTAAAAACCGTTAAAAATTAACCCACATATAACTTTACGCATTCGAAAGCGCAAAAGTAGCGCTATTATATTTGCAAAAGATTATTCGAATATCTTGCTTCTTCATTGAGAAATCGAACTTTGAATTTAGGGTACTATTCGGTAGTTACCTAAATTTACAATTAACGGCCAATATTGACATAATAACGAGCAATGCAATTATCATGAGACTAATACTGAATTTAGCGCATCTAGTATGCAACGTATTCATAAAAAAATTGTAGTGTGTTAGCTAGTAATATGATATGGATAACTATTGTGTTACCGAAAAATCTAACCCTAACCTAAACATTTAAAATTGTTTAGAGAATCAATTCACTATTCACATAATAAATGTACACAAATTTACATTCGCTCGAAAGCGCCGGAAAACTGCTATCGAATACAAAAAAGTTTGGCCAAGTATCTTGTTTTGCTGTTGAGAAAACAAAGCTTACGTTTATTTTGGTCCGAAATCATCCAAGGCGTATAGAAACATTGTTTCGAATCACAATGTTAATCTGCATTTAAGCAACTAACATTATTCTGCCTATACATTTAAACTTTTTAGTGGAAAAGACTGAATGACAAGAGCTTACTGGGTTTGAACGTGGTCTTATTATTGGAGTGGCTATTTGGTCACTCTGAACGAGGGATTGGAAAAAAGTGATATGGAGTGATGAATCTCGCTCGCTTTACTCTGTTTGCAAAGCTCGTGTGTGGAGACTTCCAATAGAAAAGTATGACATTGACTGTATCGTTCCTACATATACAGTCAAGCATGGTGGTGGTGGAGTAATGGTCTGGGGCTGCCCTACATGGGATTGTTTAGGCCCTTTAATCAGACTTGAGGGAAAGGTTGATAGTAAGAGATACATTGAAGAAGTCCTGCAAAGTCAT